TCGGTGGCTGGCTCAGCACGCCCAGGATTCTGGGGCCAGCTTGGCATGCAGTATCAGGGATCAAACTCAGGTCCTTGCACTTGTCAGGCAATCACTTAGACTGCTGAGCTATCTCCCCAGCCCTAGGGGCTTTGTATACCCAAGGACTAACACTTACTGCACATCAGTTTGTGCCAGCTGAGTGCTAACTGTGATGCATGTACATTATTATCTCATGAATTTCTCACTCTACCACAAAGTGCAGGTGCTACTGTTCTCCCTCTTATCCAGGAGGAAATGAAGCTCAGAGAAGGGAAGTAATCTGCTCAAGGTCAAGTTTGTTCAAGTTGAGCCTACAGACTCCCTGCGTCTTGCACTGTACACTGTGCCCTCGGCGCCAGCTGTCTGGTCAGGAGAATTAACACAGCCCCTTCTGGTCACTTAAATATGCTGGATTCTGTTCATATTGCCTCCTCTTTGAGGCAATGATTCTATTCAGGGTTTGGAAGAAATTCTACCTCTGGGTCACTAGGGAGAAGCAGAAACTCTAACCCCAAGTAATAAACTGAGGGCTCTGTATGAACATGTCACACTTAATAAAAACAAAAGGTGTTGGTCTTTACTCAGCAACGTTCTCCCATCATTTTCCATTTTCCCTGTTTGTGAAACATAATTAATTTCTCTAATGCAACACATCCAGCAAAGGTAGAGGCAGGACAGTCATGAGGCTGAGGAATCAGCTTTTAGGATGTAGCTAAAGGTGAAGTCTCATGTCTGCAGCTTGAACCAAATTTGAGGCTCCGCTTACAAAGTACGGCTTTGTTAAAGGCTGCCTAAGTGCAGCCTCTACCAGCCTTTCACTAGAAGTGTTACTGCTGAATGCCTTATAGCTAGTGTGTTACTTATTCATGGTTTGTTGGCAAATTAAGTCACTTGCCACTCTACTATTTAGACGCGGAGGAAGTTTTCAATTCCAAAGATATTATGCCTTCCTGGCTTTGCTAGCCAGGCAATAATGTCATTGGCAAATGCCGTATGAATAGGTGGAAGATCTTATTTCACTTACAGTATATGAATAAACAAAACACCCCCAGGGGACTGCCAGGTATTTCATGTAATGGATCTCTCCCGTCCCACCCTGATTCCTCCCTGGAGTTACTGAGCTTTGGATTTCCTTACAAATAGGACTGTTTAGATTAGAAGCAAGAAAAATGACACTTTTCCTTTTTTTTTTTTAAATTAAGATGATGATTTTAAAAATTGGGCTCAGTAAAATGTGTTACTCTCCAGTGTGTGCTTCTATTTCATACACTAGGACCCTGGGCTGTATAGTGGGACGGTCCCTTCTTGGCTAAGAATTCAGAATTATTCAGGAAGAAGTATCCATTTTCTACTGAGGAGCCCCCATGCCTATAGCTCAAATTACTGGAGCAAAATACAAAGTATTTATGGATTCATCTTTGCACTTCTCTTGGAAAATAACTTTTTGAGAGAATGCTAGATTTGAGGTAGTGCAGGAGTCACTGCTTGCTGCAGTTTCACCATGCGTTTTGCCCCTCCCCAGTACCAAGCAGAACTGTGGTCTGACTGGGCCGACTCCACTCCCAATTCCAGGAACAGGTCTGCCCCCAACATCAATCAGTGTGACTCCATGTCTGCCAAGCTTTTATTCATTATCACTCCTGCAAGAAGGCTTTTTAAGTATACTTTTCTGTTTGCCAGTCATGCCTCTATCAAATTTTAATGCCACAGACATACTTCATATATGCTTGTGCATCATAAGGATATCTGTGATCAGGAGGAGGAAGCCTTTGCTATCCCTCTCGCCCACGCAGCCTGCGCTCCTCGGGGTCCTGTCATTTCCACCCAGTATGCGTACATTAGCCTATGCCATTTTACAGTGAGCATTCCGTGTTGGGTGGGAACAGACCCTGAATAGGTCTCCCAGATGCAAACTGATGCTTTTTTTGTGAATATAAGAAAATCTCTTTCTTCCTGGATCCACTGATTTGTAGATCTAAAGCCTAGAACTTCTGTATTTGTCTGCTATCACGAGAGAAGAAATCAGCTGAAGATAATGCCAAGAAATGAAAAAACAGGGCCATAAGAACTACAGGGAAGAGCCACAGCCTGATCAAATTCCCCTTGAGGTCGTCTTAGTGCAGAACGCAGAACATAGGGAAGTCTTAGCAGGGTGCCAATGATAGTTTTTGAAAAATTCTCCTCCTCCCCCTCCCCTCCCCTCCCCTTCCCTCC